AGAAAGTCTCCAATGTCTAATTCAAACACAGACTGACCCATGCAGGTCTCAAACGTGCACCTTTTGATGCGAATTCCAGTGGACTAACTTTAAGTCCACTGTTTCTTTTTCCAACAGCTACCTACTTTTACTGTGATATTGTCAAGCATTTAATTTAAATCACGTTTTGTTTGTAGAGAAATCAAGTGCTTGTCCAAACCAAGGAAGTTAGTATGAAACCAGACGACGTAGCCAGAATATTTCAATCAGAAGAATATAGGGCTGCTGCAGATAGTGGTTTGTGTACTTTGTAAAACTGGAATTTTAATTTTCATAGGCAGGGTTGTTGAGTTTGGTCTTTAAGGGAACTCAAACTTCTCTCCTCAGGGGATAGAAGTTTGTCAACTGTTAAAATTTAGTTTCAGGGTAGTAATTCCTAGGCAGAGAACATAATGGTCCTAAATTTGGATAATAGCAACTTTTTTTTTTTTCGTCGAGCTTAGTCAGAAGCCTTGCTAAATAATTAAAATTTGTTTGTAAGAGTATCATAGATGACAAGGTCAGGCGTGTTTTCAAGCGTCAATAAAGACCCTCTGATAGGAAATTACGGAATTACAGTTGGTTATCTCGTCTTCGTTTGCCCATCCGTTACTTTCCATGCATGCATTTCCCGCCTCTTGAAATGGCTTCTAATGGCGTGACCCAGCCAATCTACAGGTAGCCGGCGAGGAGGCTCGCGGGCTTCTCGGCGTTTAAGAGGGGTCTGCACCAGACCTCTCGCAGACCTACCACCAGCGGATGCTCATGCGGCAAGGTCATTAAGATTATCTAGAGAGCGTATAAACTCTACTGAACGAAATACCCTACTTTTTATTTAAAGAAAATTGCTTTATTTTTTTTCAAAGATGACTGACGACTATTCTGTGATTTCTTTTCTAGGTCCAGTTATCGGATTGGAGTTCAATGGAAAGGACTGTGTACAAAATACTGAGGATGCGCTTAATCAGATATGTGATCGCTCACTTGCAAGTATATACTTCTCATCAACTCCTGAGAAAGCATTACATGACATCGATGCGTTCTATAATTTTGTTGACTTGTCTATGAGTTAGGACGACGCCACTAAACCCAAAGTACGAACATTTATTTGTTTTTACTGAACCTGTGCGTTACCTCGCACCCAAGGGAATGCTAGATAGCGTGCTGGACTAAAGAGTAACGTATGGAGCGAGACAGCGAAGCGTTTTAAAACAGAAGTTATCCAACTTTTTTTTTTAAGGTTTGGGATTATTAATTTATCTGTGTACACAGTTTGCAAAGTATTGATCTCGGAAAAAGTCTTTTTTTTTCTTATTTATTTTATGGCTCTAAAACACGCAGAGTTTTAATTTTCTTCACCGTAGTTGTGCTTGAGGAGCCTCAATTCTAAGCGGTTGGGAATCATAGGAAAGAGGTTCGAAATCATTCTAGTCATTTTATTTTGCCTAACCGAGTTACATGTAGTAGCTATACGGTTAGTTTTACCCATTAGTTGTGTTGATGAGCGACTTCGCTGGATGAAATAATCGAGCTAGATACGTTTTGATGTATCAAACTTGTGACTGGGAGGGGTGGGTATGTCTCCTTCTCATGTTCCTCGCGGTTTAAGGCTTATCGTCTCGTGTCGTGAATAATATGGGTCTTCCTTGAGAAGAGAACAGCAACCCGAAGACAGTGAAGCTCATTTTGACACATGTGGCCATTACCAGTCGGTCGAAGACCACTTTTTTATTTTCTGCCACTGAAACTATACACTGAGAAGAAAGATTCTTCTAGTGAGGGGGCAAAGAACTTCAGTCTGACTCTGGCGTCTCAAAAATCTCTGCAGCTTATACCTCAAGTTAGTCGAGTCATACAAATAACATAAATTTCGATAGTGGCCGTATTGTTTGAATATCATGTAATTACCTCAGTTATGTTACAATATATTTTTTTACATTTATATTTGCATCTCTCGAGTTTCTATCAAAGCTACCACGTGCATGGCATAAAGTTAGCAAATGTAAAATAATTTCTGTTATTGTCACTGTTGTTTTTAACGATGATCAGTGTTTGACCAGCTCTGGTGCCCAGCGAACAAACATCGTTGTAGTTTGTAACTTTAAATTTGAGGAATAAATTATAGCAATTTTCATGTCATGAAATCTTTCCCCTTTCGAAATATAAACATTGCGTGACGAGGTAACTGAAGGTTTGCGTTATAGTAAAAGCTAAGATAGATTACGAACGAAGCTATTAAAAAATATACCATGTTTTATTAAATTTTATTGCCATTAACAACATTGTGTTATTCATATCCACATTCGCTTCCTTTCGTTAGTAAATTTTCAGCGCAGTAAACAAAGAGATAACAAAACGAAATAAATTACAGTTCACTACGATTTGTTCTTCGTCTTGTTTCGTTTCTTTGTTAAAGGTCCATTTAGTTCCGTATCTGATGAATACTCTGTAATCCTCTTCTTCGCCTTCACCGATTTCTTCTCCCCACCCCTACGGGAGAAAGGTTCAGAATAGTTCAGCGCAGGAGACAACTGACAATTGAACAAATGTATAAACTAGTTTGGTAGGATTTTGAGTAGATTGAAAACCCTATTTCACGTAGCTGTCATTTGCAATGCAAACCCTTTCACGAGCCACTCTCCCTCATATCTTTCTTTCCTTTCCCATCAAGTTACTTAATATATACCAAGGCAAACCCCTCAATTGATTCGTTCGTCCACCCAGGTCATTGATCACATGCGTATGCGATTGTTCGTTTCTTTTGTTTGATTGCCTTTTTTCAAAAGTTACCAGTGAATCACCGAGAGGAATTTGAGGGTTAATTGAAAGGAACAAAAAAAAACACGTTTCTCTATTTCTAATTACCCTCCGTCTTATTCTGTGTAGAACTTCTTCTGACAAAACAGAACAGTATCAAGAAAACAGGTGTTGTGAACAGAGAAAACTGCTCTTTTCCTAAGGATGTTTTGTGGACGCCCAACTATCTTGAGAGAAATTCAAGGAAATATGTTGTAGTTTGAAGGCAGTATTAGTTACTGGAGAGTTGGAAGGAAGCAGATTACTTTATACACTTATCTTCACTGAATTCAAATTGCGAGTTGGGAATAAAAAACAATAGAATCTCTCGCAGCCATTATCTGAGATGTAACTTACCCCACCCCACACTTTCGTTTTGAGGCTGAGGGGAACTCAAAGCGTTGCGTGACAACCTACAGAAAGGCTACGAAAGAAACGAACAAAAAAGAGAGTCTCAAACCTTTTCCGCTTTTGTGCTCTAGGTTGCTTCTTGGATTGAAACAATTCTTTTGGTGCCTCTCTGAGGCCAAAACTTTTCGCGACATGTCCCAGGTGAAGATTCTTCACATGAAAGATGTGTTTTAGATTGCTGGGGTATGTAGCATAGGCTCTGACAAAAGACTGGTATGCTGCAACGCAGAGGAAATACTTAATGATCAGTTTGACATACGATTGAATGATCTCGGCGCTCAATGAGTTCACGGGGCGCGGGGACAGCGCACAGCGAAATATCAGGCGGTTCCTCACACAACCTGTCCCAAATCTTCCTTCTTTGTTCGCTCTGAGCTTCCATCGCGCCCCGTTAACTAACGGAACACCTTGAACAGGCTCGATAACTAAAAGATTGGTCGGATAGCCAATCCTAACTGTGTAAGGTTCTCTACAAATGCGCACACCATTGGAACGATATGCTCACATTAACTTTAGCAAATGTCCAGGATTAGCGGTTTTCCGATATGATCACAGGAAACCCTTGGGATGGCGAACATACACACATTCCGCAACGTCTCCGCGTGCTAACTCTTTATACTCGTGTAAGAAGTATATATTTGAGGTAGCAGTAATATGATGCGATTTGAAATTTTTGTCTTTCATGGTGCAATTTCAGTAACATAAGACATAGTTAGATTTGAGGAAGATCCAAGTATGAAACACAAAATATTACCTGTCTTGGCAGCTTTCAAACAGAGATCATTGGAAAGAACATAGTCCTCGAATGAATTCTGTAATTCAGTAGCTGATTCCTGAGCTTTTTGATCAACATACTGAAGTAAAAAAATAATAATTAAGAATAGATAAGGAAATTAATAATCAAAAAATCCATTGGTTGCTGTTAAGCTACCAAAAGGGAAAAAGGCTCAGAAGATTCACAAAATACATTGAAACCTCAAATCAGCGAATCCAATGATAAGCAGACACCAGCCCAAGTACCCCATTTCTTCTTCCCTTCCCATTTACTGTAAAATGGACTTTTCATGACGAAAAACTCCATTGAATAGACACGGATACCAACATTAAACTTTTATGGGACAGCTTGATGAATAATTTGATTTCAGTAGCACATACAATTTCAGTCCAAGGTTTCATCTTTTTTAATGAATTTTCTTCATCTTGTTTGATTTTTTGTTGTTGATGTTTGTTTGATTTTTTGTAATACATTTATTCCGGTAGTTAATCATACTATCAACCCGGAACGACCAGATTTAAAAAATATTTGATCACCCTCAATGTTCCGTTTGCGGCTTTAAAAGTAAAATAGCGTTTTGCAATTATCTAAATTTTGACGTCACAGACACCAACAAGAGTCCTGTGGTTTTATAGCACTTACCTTCGCTGTCTTCAGCTTCGCGTCTCCTGAGGATACTACGAGCGTTTTAAGGACGTCGTTAACGAGCAGTTCTTCTGGACTACAAAGTACGCAAAAAATTAAACAAATTAGTTGTATATTACTTTTTCAATTAAATTTCTTGTTTATGCATTAATTTACTAATGTTGCTTTACGAATTATTTCCTACTGAAGTATTTGTGACTTTCACGTCGGAGTTGGGGAAGCTTAGAAATTAACCATGATTTTTCTGTGTCGCTTGAATGTTGCAATGATTCACCCAGATGGCAAACAAGTCTCATACATTAACATTCTCGTTTTTCAGCACGGAAGGAGCTTCTATGCAGTATTCTATCGTGTGGAGACAGTGTTACTTAGTTATAAAAAAAGAGCACTTCTCGATTAAGAGCAATAAAGCCAACACCAAACAAATTAGACAAGCCAATCACAGCGAAGGATGAAATCACAAGAAGCCAATGAGAACACAGACTTAAAACTAGCAAACTGCGCGGGAGAACCCGACTAGCCAAATCGCAATTGCTTTTATTATAGCACCTGATTGGTTGAGAGGTTCGAGTTTTCAGGACCAATCGCCGAGCGAAGTAAAGCAAAACCATTACAATCGCTGATAGCTACCCTTTATACAAACCTGATTCCATGCTGTTTCAAAATGTCCAAGTACTCGACCTAGAATGAAATGTTGATTGACTAAGATTGTATTGCCTTCGTTTACATAAGAGTGTACATCAGGATAGAACGCGTGGTCGGAGACGAACGGATTTAACAAAAATTATAAGAAACTTGCAGCTTCAGATGGGGGAGCGTACTCCAAGCCTTTTCGTTAAGGATGCTTTAATGGAGAAACGTTAAGAACTGACTCAACTGAGCGTCTTCGTTTAATGTTACTTATTCTACACACACTTCCTTATACATGATAATTTCATCAGCTCAAAATAAAAAGTAAAACTTACCTCAGCGGGAGTCAAAAAAAGGAGGGCGTTCCCTTTCAGTCCGATTCTTGCCGTTCGACCAACCCTGTGCACGTAGTCTGCTGGGTTCCCTGGAGTATTGTACTAGAAACATAATTAATCAAACCAGTCAGACAGTGATCCAAAAATAATAAAAGAGGCTTACTTAGCCCAGAAACAGCATAAAAGATAAATTCAATCCATTAATTCGAAAGTGTTGAGCTGCGAAATTGAGAGAAAGTGCATTGTTATTACACTCATACTTTCATGGCCAATTCCTTTGTCTCCTCAAGAAATTGTGACATGCGTGACAAAGTAGCCATATATGGTCATTTTTAATCGTTAAACAAAGCCTGCTTAACTTTAAGTTGATCCGCTTTTCTTGATACGGAACGCATGCGCGGCTAAAATAAAAACAACAACGGGAAAGATCCTCTTTGTATTTATACCTGAAGTATCCAATTGACATGAGGCAAATCTAATCCTCTTGCTGCCACATCCTAATATACAAAACATAAGTTAACTTGGTTATAAAGCATGAAGTGAGCAAGAAAAAGGCTCGTTTGCTCCTCTTTGAACTAAAATAAGGAAAACATAATCATCTTTTTTCAGTCTCAGTTCCAGCTCCGACTCGACTGATCCAATTTCCCATCTTGCATCTAAACATACTTACAGGAAATTTCAGTTTGCTAAAGTTTCCTTTCCATCACTACACCTCAACAGGCGTAGTTGTGGTACACTTTAAAACTATTTCTATTGATACAGGCCCCTGAGGATACCAGCCGTCGAGCTCAATGAGCTGCCCGGCCTAAGTAAAGTTTTACTTAACTCTACTACATAATGTGGGATATTGATCAAATGAAGCCTTTAAGTGCTACTGTGGTTCTTTCTTTATTCACTCCGAGCTTTCGCCGTTCTACGGCATCATCAGGGATGATGATGATGCCGTAGAACGGCGAAAGCTCGGAGTGAATAAAGAAAGAACCACAGTAGCACTTAAAGGCTTCATTTGATCAATATTCCACATCATTACGACATGCTACTAAAGGACACGTTCAAACGTTTAGTTACTACATAATGTTTCCGGTTAAAAAAGACTAGAAATCAAGCAACAAATAGTCAACCTACTGTACAAAACAGAATCCCTCTTGTTGCGTCACTGAAACTTTTGAACACGGAAGTCCTTTCCTGCGAAAAACCAAACGGCAAAATACTGTTTACTTTTAGTTTCAGGAAATTTGAGATTCCGTCAAATCTATTCTGATTGGCCAACTTGAATAATTTGGCCTTGGGCTGGATCCGCCCAAGAATAGACAAAAAGGAAAAAAATTAATGAATGACTTCTCAAATAATGAACTCAAAGTCTCTGCTTTCTCTTACCGACTGAGACATGTTTCCATGAAGTTTAAAGAATACAAGGCGTAACTCTAACAAAATACAAGCAAGCAAAATCAAAAGATGCTCATGTCAATGTCAGACAATATAAATGTCGTCTACTTGCAGCAAAAAAGAAAACGAAAGGTTTAAGAGTAGTGCATAAACCCTGCTGGGTCAAAAAGGGAAACAAAATAACCAAATTACTCACTGGCCACAGAAGAAAAAGACTTCTCAAAAAGGTCGCAGTGAAAATCCACTGAGTCCCGGCTTGACATAAAAACAATCATCTTCGTGGCAGTTGATTCCTACAAAACGAAAAGGCAAGTTCAAGGATGGAAAAGAGGCAGCATGTGTACGTTACTTGCACAGTAAAATATGGATATGTGCGTACGTCACAACAGACCTAGTTCATGAT